GGAAGAGTAAAATATTGCATAGCATAGAGAAATCACAATGCCAAGTACACTCATGAAAAATAGCAACCATCTGATATCAACAGAGCTTTATTTAGCTTTATTTAGCTTTATTTAGCATTGAAGGTCATGAGAAGAACTGAGGCTAAAAGCTGAAGGCAGATAAATTCTAATCTGAAATACAGAACAAGTGTTTAGCAGCAAGGTAGCTAAAACTTGAAAACACTAGCAAGGCAAACCAGGTACTCGCATGTCTTCAAACAAAAGTGAATACCTTTCTAAAAGACACAATTCAGTGTAATCTAAGTTACCAGGTACCTGAAAGAAACATGTATGATATATGGGAGGTCAGTTTGGATGAATTGCTAATTCTACCTATCTTTAAACCCTATGAAAATAAATCATTACTCAAAAGCAAGTCCTAGCTCACTAACATAATTTGCCTTACATTTTCAGTGCTTCTGAGTTTTTTCAGTGAAGAGCAATGTTAATCACTTAGCTAAAGCATTCAGTTAAAAATCCCACTAGAGTCTGAAGTTGGCAAGCAGCCACCGTGTTCCCTGTCTTCTTTCACAACACCATCCTCTTGGTAACAGAAGGCATTTACTTAAATAAGATGGAATGAGATTTCCACAAACAGCAGAGTTATCAGCTGCTAATAGCTAGGCTTGTTGCTTGCTTGTATTTATACCCCAGAACACTGCTGCTTCAAAAGCTAGACTCAGATAATCACCTACAGAATAAGATTAAAACTGACATCAGTTTATTCAGCCTATGTTTTTTGCATATGTGTGTGCAAGGCTAAGTGGCATCTTCTAGTTCAGCTGACCTAACCCTGCACATGCTACATACAGGTGTTGCTGACACCAACTTCAAGAAAACTACAACCAGGCAAGAACAGCTCAGAATCTCTTCTGACTGATACACTAGGAACAGAACTACCAGCTAATCATTTCCAATTAAATCAGAAATTATATCACTGCCAACGAGAAAAATCATTTTATGACTTGCACTCTTAAGCAATCTGTAGCTTTTTTATTGTTATTTTTCTTTTTAACAATATAACTGCACTCATTTTAACTGGTATATTGAAATAGGGAAGCAACAGCAAGTCCTTAAACAGCATACACAAGTTGACAGTTAAACTTTGAATATTTTGCAGTGCTTAGATCCAGGCTTCTGCCTCTTTGTCTGCTGGCAGACTGGATTCTGCACTCACAATTAGGTTCATTACAGAGTGTCACTGTACTGCATGGCAGTACATGACATGACATTGTATTGCAATGTAAAGGCAATTGAGGGATATTTTTGGGTTTGCAGTCCACTCCCTCCACAGCACAGAGCATACTGAAGCAACTAAAGGAGGAAACTCTAGAGTTTCCTTGCTAAATCTCTGACTGTCCAATTTTGCTTTTGAATCATCAAATTTAATTTCTTTAGTCTGAACGTGGAATTAAAGAGTGAGTGAGTAAATGGATTCTCTTCATCCCTGAACACTTAAAAGTTTATAAAAGCAAAGAATTTTTCTCCATGGCACCCTTGGGCAGCCTGGAGATCTCCTCTGACAATAAAAGAGAAGCAGTTCTGCCTTCACTAGGGTCTCCTCCAAAAACTTCTGTGCTTGCAGAGGCCATTAGATGCAAAGATACCAGGGAAACAGAACAGCGATTTACATTGACAAAGAGGATTTTGATACACTCCTCCAAATGGGGCAGCATTACCATCTTAATAGCCTTTTGCTCTCAGCCCTCTTCCTGAGGACGCTGGAGATTTTTGCGAATGGAGAACAGTTCCGCTTCTCATTTTAACTGCAACAATAGCAGAAGGGCTCCTTAAACTGCATCAAATAGCAGTCTGCGAAATCCCTAACTAGCCACACTGCCTCTCCTGCCGTTTTATTATCCTCCAGTCCACAGAACAAAGAGGGAGGGAGCTACTCCTCTTTTTTTTTTTTAGCCTATTCCACACATCCTAATCCCTCAGAGGTGGCAATGGAAATTGCCTGTGGAACTGTTAAATCACACTTTCACTTTGTCTTTCATTCCCCATTCACCCTCGCTAATCAAGGAGCTTCCAGCCACATTTTCCGATATCAATTTGTTTATGGCCTATTGGTTAATGGTCCCGGGATGGGACCCCCTGAGTAAAAAGAAAGAATCCTGGGCACTTCAGCCAGCTGCTGCTTCTCACCAGTTCCCACACCCATCCACTTGTTCTCATCAGCCACACTGAATGTGCTCACCTCCTGACACCAACTGAATTAAACAACAAAGCCTGAATGGGAGAGTTGCATTTGCAGTCAGGCTGTGGGACAGATTCCACTTGCTAGTGCTACATGATGTCTCTTAAGCAGCAACACAGAGATACTCCATCACCATCTGATCCATGGCCAGTTACCTTGCTCTCATCTTACCTTGTATCCAGCTTTCCTTTGGAAAGAAGCACCAACTACAACTCCCAGGAAAACTCTAGCTTCTCTTGCACAAGGCAGCCTGGTGCCACTTTCTGCATCTAATCCAAACCAGCCATTTCCTGGTGATTTGCTCACTTCCTCTTTCCACAGAAATAATGATCACTGAAATGTGGGATGAGAACATGCAATATTTACTTTGCACAGGTCAGGGAGATGGCTTACATGTAAGTGCTTAGAAGTTTCTTCTAAAACACTTGAGGCACATTATCAGGGCAATCATGCCCTTCCTTGCTACCCGTGTTGGAGAAAAATATTTGAAGTAGAAACATAATGGTGTAGTCAACATAACCGCTCGGGCCCGGGCACGGAAAGGAGTGGGAGAGTGAGAGCTTCGCCTGTGCGGACAGTGCCATTGTGGGAGATGAGAGGGGGAGCCCCGGAACACACAGAAGACAAGGACAACTCTAAACCCGGGCAGATGGAGCTCGTTCAGCCCTGTAAGGCCATCCATCTAAGAGAAGGTCACTCTAAACAAACCTACATCCTCAGGACCTCGCTGCCACCGTCCAAGCTCGCTCGGCCCCGGCAGATGAACCTTAGGATTAAAGGGTGGGCTCAGTTCAGCGCGCACTGTGTCTCACCTAAAAAAATCCATTGCGCAGGCTCGAAGGCCTTACCCGCATTTGCAAAGCCCTGTATCACCAGCGCGCTTGTAGCGAACATGGGTAGAGACCTTCCCCAAATCTTCGTTCACGAAGACTGGCCACAATGATGATATGAGTCAATGTAATAAAAGGCTCACAAGAAGACAAGCTTCTAGCTGCCTTCCAAAATGTACAAAGAATGCCTGATATTGAGATATCATTTATTTAAAGAAATCCAAACTGGTATCTCACCTGTTTTTAGAAAAATGGCAAATGATGTTTTAAATTTACACCCCAGAAACATACAGATATAGGGAAATCAGCAATTGCCACACTCCTAATACAGTGATATCCTTCTATCAGAAAGTGCTGTTCCATCATCATTAAGTGTAAACAGGCCCATTTGTTCTTTAAAGGTAGGGTTCAGTCCTGGGAAAGCTATATTCATGGCCCACAGAAAAGAACTGAAAAAATAAACATCCTCTGTGAACAAATGCTCTCTGTTTCTGAAATGGGAAAACTTTCTTTCCCAAAGTTTCACTACATTAGTGCCTGAGGACAGAGCAGGAAACTGATTTTTTTTATAATAACCAGAAACATCTATGTAGCCCAGAAGACATCCAAGATAGAAAAGTAGCTTATCTTCAGCCCTACACTGAAACAAAACATGCCAAGACCAACTCTTTCAAGTAACCTCAGTTTAAACTAATAACATTTTTTTCTAGTTCCTATAGACTTTTACAATTACTGGTACCAAATAAGGCAGATCAAATGCCCAAAATGCTATCTAAGAATACACTGAATATAGTATCTAAAGGCTTAGAAACACTGGATGGACCCCTGTCCCCATTATCATTATGTAGATGTATCAAATGGAAGCAAAAACACACCACAAAACATTTTTATTTCTTTTGTTTTCTGACATTTTGCATCACCTGAGATGTAAGCACATTGAGTCATTAGGAAATATAAATGTCATTGGTATGGTACGGCCTGTTTGAAGGTGAGAAACATGCAATCAGAAAGAACTGTTCACATCCCTTAAAATGTCCCTAGTCACTCATGGGATCAGTGATTTCCAATCACTGGAACCTGAGAAACAGCTATACTCACTCTTCTTACCGCCATGGTTGCATATCACACTGTCTCTTCTGAGCAAAAGCTGACAGGCACTGACTAGTTTTATTTAGTCTGTTAAACTGATGCAGCGATAAGGAGCCAAGCTGCGTATCAACAGACAGCAACTCAACAAAATTGGTCTATGAATGTCTGTCAAGAAGTAAGGATGTTTATTGGGATAAACGGGGGGGGGGGGGGGGGGGGGGGGGGGGGGGAGAAGGGAAGAGCTGAACCTCTTTCTTTGCTGTGGTCTGAAAGTACATGATTTAGGACATGGCCACAAGGAATCCTAGTTCCCTGCCATCATGGTGGTAATATCCAGCTTTTCAGTATACTACCTCATATCCCAGAGAATCTGAGGATTATTTAAGACCATGGGGCATTAGCGTTAAAATGATCACAAATATAGAAAACAGATATTAATTTCCTGTATTTTTACTGATGTCAAGCCACTTGCTAAAGAAGAGACATTTATTAGAGCAGGTTATTAATGATAGATGGGTATGTTTTTCCTGAAGAAATCTATCCCATAGGACCAATGTTACCAGAACCATTTCACTTTACCTTGAAGGAAAACAGGGAGCCTTGATTAATAATTTCAGGGCCCATTCCTAGATCCATGGCAATATAGAAAAACTAATTTAGTGTAATCCAAGACAAATCAGTAAATGCAGCACAAGGCTGCCCTTGTCAACCAGGCTGTTTAAATGCGTGGGGCTTTAATTAGTCATAAATAGCACCATTTTCAACAATAGTTGCTGTTATCTACATTCAGTCTGCTTAAAATACTAATTGAAAAGGCAAAACAACCAATGCTCTTGTCTTACCCTGAAGAACCAAGCCTGATTTCTCAATGGTGTAGAAAAAAGCGGAGAATGGAGAAACAGGCGATTTAGCAACCAGGAGCTGCAAAGCAAACATAACATATAAGCACACATATTTATAACACACTGATCAAAGCTGAAATCTGTAAAACAATCTCACCAAATTTAACTTCCAGAAGTAGTAAAGCGTACTTCAGAAATAACATGGTAGTTACTGATCTAGCCCTGTCACTTTTAAGTAACTGAGGTCTTCTCATACACATATATAGACCATACTACAATTTTAAAAGGACCCACAGGTCTTAAAAACACACTGTTGTGAAAGCAGTAAGTTTTGCTTGTCTTACTGACATCCTGTTAAGCTTAATCATTCCTGCTGGTTCAGGTTGTTGCACTCAGAGATAATTTTGAGCAAAACTGCCACTGCCACTGTGTATGACAATTTTTAATTGCCATTAGCCATTCCACAGATATGCTCCCTTGGCTTCTCAAAGAACTCCACCCATTAACTTCCTCCGGACCGTGGAAGCAACATGTCCACCCCATGGGTCACCACACCAGGGATGGTAATATGCCATTGCAAGTATCTGGATGTCCTCTTTTGCAAAAGGGGTATTGACCAAGCAAAGCTTTATCAAAGGATCATGTCTCTGGAATATCAAAATAGGAACTGGAATTCCCTCGCAGTGTATAACACAATTGAATTTAGCTTGGCATTAGGGTGTGATGGCCATTCACCATTAGGTCAGAAATACCCCAAACTCCCTGGCTCCACTACAGAAGAACCGTCCTCTGTGGAAGATGAACTGCAGCAGAGCTCTGGAGACAAAGAAATGGGCTTGTTGGCAGGGTAGGGAATGTGGGACCTGCAGGTGGCAAACTCAAACAAATGTGCCAGGCTTTATTGCTTGGCTGTTTGATTTTTGCTCATTGCCAAGGACTGCTCTCTCACAGGTTGCCTCAAAATAATCCCCATTCTGTTACATGAACCTACATGAAAGTGACATTTTAATGATAGATTTAACACATTCTGCCCAGAGCGTGATCAGCACAAACACTGATCTGCTGGTGCCTGTGTGGCCCTGCAAAAGCTGCTGGCAGCAGTGGCTGAAGCACAGAATGTGCTGTTGCTTTGCCTCTGGTGCAGAGTTGCTGAACAAACCTGAAACATGGTTCTTGCTCATCTCTTCAACAGCTAGAACAGGACGATGTCTGGAAACCAGCCCTCCCAGCAGTGGCCGTATACTCTGGGAGATCCTTCCTGCCTTCCTGGCCTGAGGACATGGTTTAGGTAGACAGTTTCCCTTCAGCTCATGCTGACATTCAGCAGGGATCCGAAGAGATCCTCTCAGTAGAGCCTCTGCTGAGGACACAGAGCTGACTCATTGACTTTCTTTCAGTGCACTGATTTCATCTGCCCCATCTGTGAGGCTTATTGAGCAGCATGCTGTGGAACTATCAAACACCTCAGTCCCTAAATTTCCAAAGCCCTTTAAGATACTGCACTCTCACAGTTCACAATAGGCAGCCCTCTGTCAGATACATTCAAGTACAGATTTCTTAGAACTACAGACAGTAACAATCCCATTTTTAGAGGTCCTAGCAGATCCTGCTGATTTCAAATGAAGTAAAAAAACCCTCATTATTTCCAAAGGTCATGCCCTAATTCTGCCAAACATTCAAGCATTCATAAGGGTCACTGCATATAAATTTTGGTTGGTGGTGCCTAACAATCAGTGGGGAAACACTGAGCAGGTTTTACAAAACCCAAGAGAGACTAGTGGAAAGCAACAATTTCGTGCTCACCCTGCAAAGTCAGACAGTATTGAATCACTTCACAGATATACAGGACTGGGACATTTATTCCTAAGAGTAAGAATAACAATATCAAGCACCAGAAGTTTGAGCTCTGCAGTGTCCTTAAGTATCCAGAGAATTTGGCAGCAAATTCTGCTGCGGTATCACAGCTCATGTGACTTTCCTGTAGCACTTGAAATGCTAAGGGTGTCTGCAGAGTAGGTAGGTTTCATTTGTATTTGTATGTAATCTGCAGACAGGACCATGCTTATATGCTTAGTCTTGCAACTCTTTTCTCATCTGATTCTGATACAGGTTGAAGAAACAAAATCCTCATATCTGGTTCTTCAAATGTAACCATTATGACCCACAGCTAGCTAACAGTTTTATGGTTTTGAGCATTTAAACCAAACCAAAGAATCTCCCTTCTTCTTTGAATATGAAAAATAAAGGCAGGTATGCGAAGACCACAAATACAGCCAAAAAACATCAGACCAGTCCAAATGTCAGTGTTTTCCTTTCAGCCATATGAAGGTGGTAAAACCACCTCAGGATGCGATACAAACTTTGTGAATACCCCAAGTAGGAAAACTCCTGTGGTTGCATTTTCCCCTCTTCCATGTTAATTACCATTCTCTCTGGGATGATCTTCTGGAGAAAAGGGCACATCATATCCCACATCCCTGATGCACCCTGACAAAACCCAAATTCTCTTGCCTGTCATTATCCCCAGAGCCAGCACTTCCCAATAGCACAGCAGGAGGGGGACTCTGCCAGGGGGAAAGAAGAGTGAAGTTGAGTGCCTCCAGGGGCTTTGCACACTCCCTCACCTCTGAGAACATGAGGGGGAGGATGGGTGGAAAAACTGTGCAAACACTCAGGTAGAACCTCCCACAACAGCTGGATGTTTAATTGGAAATATGCGAAGCGAAACAGTTACAAATCTTTTGTCTAAGGTCAAATTTTTGGCATTCCATGCACTTCTATGCACATAAATACTAACCTATATGTGCACTAGGCACACAGATGTTACACATGCACATGGATAGACATTCAAATAACCATATGTATATTGTGTTGCTGCATTTTTATGCAGTTACAACATGTACATAACTAAGTATAGCAATGAAAAAAATATAATAAATCACATTATTTCAGCAGCACATCATAGGGTTCCTCTCAAAGGCTGCTGCCTTTCACAGATGCACAGCTACATCTGAGGCTCTGAATTAGCTTCCTTCTCAGTGAAACAGGAACAGCTCAGAATATTCAAAGGTATTGCTTTATTTTGAATGTTTGCTTACTGAGAAAAAGAATCTTGAAAGTATGACTGCATATTTCAGAACCAGATAGAACACATAGAATTCTTTTTTATAACACCAAACTCTACACTAACACAACATTTTTTAAAAAGGAGTAAATACGTATTTAGATTTGTTTTTCAACCAAAGAGAAAAAAACTGTAAAAGGTCATTGCAAACCATCCTCTGGTTGGAATAGACAACACAAAGTAGGTTCTTACATATAGACAAGGAACTCATAAAGCATAGAAGGAAATATATATCAAAAAAAGAAAATTATGTGAAGGTATAAAGGAAGAATTACCAAAAATCAAGCTAATGTTAACCCTGGAAAGATCAACAATTTTAATATAAACAATATTAAAAAGGAAATAAAAGTTGAAGTTATCATGAAATGACATTGGATAGTGATTAAATGGATTCTAGATATAATCCAAGAAATAATCAGTTTTCTACAAGTAGGACAATACCGAAAAAGAAGAAGAGGCACATAACGGGAATTATCTATATCACATAGATATAAAAATATCAAATTAATGGAAAGAAAACTCCAGGAGCTTAGCACATTCAGCAGAAAGTAGATAAACTCTATAGGAAAAACACTGCAAGAATCAGCATATGAATCTAGGTTTGATAGCTAGTTTTGTCATGTATCTATGAATTTGAAGAAGATAACATAACTGAGAAGCAGCAAACATAGTCCTCAAAGGGAAGGGAAAAAAAATGTAAACTAGTGAGTTGAGCCCTGCAACCTGACTTGAGTACCATGCAGGGCTTTAGAAGAAATTTTGAAGAGAAGAATAACATCACTTGGATGCAGGACTCAAAGCCATAAGTAAGTTTGCTGAGGATACTAAATTGTGAGGAGCTGTTGACTCCATCAAAGGCAGGGAGGCCCTGAAGAGAGACCTTGAAAAATTGGAGAGATGGGCAATCACCAACCACATGAAGTTCAACAAATGAAAGTGCCAGATTCCACACCTGGGATGGGGCAGCTCTGGATGTTTGTACAGACTGGGGAATGAGATGCTGGAAAGCTGTGCCATGGAAAGGGACCTGGGGGTCCTGGTTGATGGCAAGTTGAATATGAGTCAGTAGTGCCCTGGCAGCCAGGAGGGGCAACCCTGTCTTGGGGGGCATCAGGCAAAGCATCGCCAGCCAGTTGAGGGCGAGGATTGTCCCGCTCTGCTCTGCACTGGGTCAGCCTCACCTTGAATATTGTGTGCAGTTTTGGGTGCCACAATATGAAAAAGACAAAGCTATTACAGAGTGTCCAAAGGAGGGCCATGAGGACGGTGAAGGCAAGCTGGATGAGGAGTGGCTGAGATCAGACACTTGGCTTGTTCAGCCCGGAGGAGACCTCATTGCGGTCTACAACTTCTTGTAGGGGAAGTGGAAGGGAGGGTATTGATCTCTTCTCTCTGGTGACCTGTGACAGGACCCGAGGGAAAGGCCCGAAGTTGTGTCAGGGAAGGTTCAAGTTGGATATTAGAACAAGGTTGTTCACCCAGAGGGTGGATGGGCACTGGAACAGGCTCCCCAGGGAAGTGGTCACAGCACCAAGCCTGACAGAGTTCAAGAAGCATTTGAACAATACTTCAGGCCAGGAGTTGGACTTGATGATCCCTGCGAGTCCCTTCCAACGCAGGATATTCTATTATTCTATGAACTAAAGACTTGGAAAATGGGGTAAAAAAAAAAATGGATGGCATGTCAGACATACCTGAAATCCTCCTTTGATTTTTTTTAGCAATCTCATACAAATTTGAACTCATCTCTTTGGATGTTAAAAGCTTTTAACACTGTTAAATGGGAACTGATAATGAAGAAAACAAGCATAGGCATAGAAGCTGTAGGATAAAAAGGGAAACAGTCAGTTATCGAAAAGAAGACACTTCCTGGGTATATTAGTACCTCATCAGATTATTGACCCATAAGGTGATGTTGCCAAGACAACGGCGGATCCAGTTGTACAGTGCACCAC